TGCCGCGCTCCCGGCTCATGCTGGGGTGTGCGGTGCGGGACGGTGGCAAGGTGGCCCAGCACCAGCCTGAGCACGCTCAGGGGAATGGTCACAAGTGGGGATTTTCCATAGGAAACATTTCCACTGGTGTTAAAACTAGAAAATTCTGGGAATGCTCCTCAGGGAAGTCTTGATTTGGGGCTGGGATAAACTCTCAAGCTCTTATTTAACGAATCGTCCTTCCCAGGGTCGCTCTCCCGAGCGCCTGCGGGAGAAAAGGGCTTTTCCCGCCCGCTCCGCGCTGTGTTTGATGGGTGACGGAGCGGAGGGTCGGCATTCGGTTACGGCGGGGTGGGGATGTGGCTGCTGCCCGCAGGCGCTGCGGGGCACTGTTCCCCGTGTTGGGCACGGGATAAACCTGCCCGGGGTGTGGGGGACGTCAGAGCCGGGCTGTGGGGCTCCGGGGTCCGGTTCCTCGCCGCGTCACGTCAAGGAGGGCACCGTGCTGGCGGAGCAGAGCCGTGTTGGGAAAGTGCCCGTGCTGGGAAAGCAACTTGTTGGCCCCTGCGGTGAGGATGAGCACAGAGATTCGTGCTTTCCTGTGGAGTGGTGCCTCTTGGCTGGTTTTTGTTGTGGAGGTGGAAGAAGGTGGGTTTGAGGTTATGTTCTTCAGCGAGGAGCGGGAGCTTCCAGCTCCGGGCCGGCGTTTGTCCTGTGACCCGGAGGTCGGTTCTGATCTGGAAGCACAGAGATGACTCATCTCTGCCCCGGGAGGAAGGTCCGTGTCCTGCTGCGTGCCCCCAGCTGCGTGACCTCAGTTGTGCCATCCCGACAAGCACGTTTTGGGGGTCAACCTCACCCGTCTCACGAGCTGACGCCCCCCTCTCTGCATTCCAGCGTTGACAACAGCGAGTACATGAGGAATGGAGACTTCTTACCCACGCGCCTGCAAGCCCAGCAGGACGCCGTCAACATCGTGTGCCACTCGAAAACCCGCAGCAACCCCGAGAACAACGTGGGGCTCATCACCTTGGCCAAGTACGCCCGGCGAGGGGGAGCTGGCCTGGGGGGCCACTGCTCCTGGCGAGCAGGTGACGCCGAGGAGCGGCCAGGGGGGACCCATGGGAGAGCGCAGGGACAAGGGATGGGGGCGCGCTGCAAAGTGGGGCGGCAATGCCGTAGTGTGAAACCAAACCAGTTCTTCCAGGAGGACTGGTACAAGAAAAGCCAGTTCCTGAATGGTGTCTGGCGTGTTGGGCTCGCTCCCGCTGCAGCAGGGTTTGTTACGGAGCTTTTCTCTCTCCCTGCAGACCCGTTTTGTGGCCTCACGTCCCAAAGGGTGGCAGAGGGGGGCTGAGCTGTCCCTGCAGCTCACTCGGTGCCCCCCGGGAGCAGTTCCACTGTTTTCCTCAAGTCTGTGGGACTTGGG